ATTAATATGTATAAGTTCAGGAAGGGAGAATGCAGGGAGGAAGGGGACAAGCTGTTTTTTTTCACTGGTGGCCAGCGATAGGACGAGGGGTAATGGCCATAAGCTGGAGCACAGGAAGTTCMGTCTCCAGGTGAGGAGCAACTTCTTTACTGTGAGGGTGACAGAGCAGTGGAACAGGCTGCCCAGGGAGGTTGTGGAGTCTCCTTCTCTGGAGGTCTTCAAAACCCACCTGGATGCCACCCTGTGCCACATGCTSTAGGTGTGCCTGCTTGAGCGGGAAGGTTGGACTAGATGATCTCTAGAGGTCCCTTCCAACCTTGAATATTCTGTGATTCTGTGATTCTGTGATTTGTCCCAGAGGTAGCTGTGAGGCAATGAGCTGTTCGGTTTCATCCTAAAATAGATGTAGTAAACTACATTTTGGATGGCCCTTTCTCTATTTTATTTGAAAAGAAGTCTCTAGAACAAACGGAGACTAACATTTAGCTTTTAGATAGCTGAATTCAGACTAGATCAGTACAATCTCCACTCACAGATGCATTTAAGATGTGTAAGCCTACATGACYAAGAAATGATGGTTTTACATTCAGTAGGTGATGGTTATAAGAGAAAAAGTCAGGTGGACTCTGCATTGTAGGGTGTTTGTGAAAAGGTTTATCCCTCTTTGGCGCTACATATAAGTTTGTTCAGAGGTAGGAGCACAAATGGGATTTACTAGTCAACTTTGGAATGTGAGGGAGCATGAACCAAGAATTAGGCCAGTGCCAAAAGTTTTTCTCTTTTTCTCTCTCTCMTATCTATGCAGGAAAAAGAAATWCAAATTTTCAGTGTTTCACATTAGTGTTTTATGTTCACTCTTTTGAGGAAAGAAAATGAAAGCTTGTATTCCTATCATGTTACATTATACAACCATAAAACATACTGAAATATTTCTAAAGTGTTATGGAGGTGACAAGCATTACAAAAGCCAGAGACAAGGCACTATGACTCTAATGAAGTATGTATGTAGCAYGTATGAATATGCAATAAGTATACTGCATTGGAAGCTCTCATGTACATTGTAGGTATTTACACAAATGGAAAAGAGATCCATTTTGGTTTCATGTGCACTTTGAGACAGTTTGTTATTATATCCATCCCCTGTGTTAGAAAATACRCCTTGTTAATTGGCTCCATAATTCGTGAATGTATTTCACACATTTCCTGTACACATAACTCAATTATATATTTTAATTGGTACAAGTAAATAAATAATTTAAGAATATCTTAGTCCTAAGGTTTGATTGCCCAGGAATCTACATTTGCTAATGGACTTACAAAATGTTCAGAATTCCCAGCCATCTCTGTGACCAATTACAGCTAATTAACACCACCGTAATTTCAGCTCCAGTGTGCAATATACAGAGTGAATTGGTAGTGATTTAGCTAGTCACCTAAAACCCAGACTAAATCAAACCTATTGAAATCTCACCAAATCTATGAAACCTAAAACAATCAAAAAGTAATCTAAGTAAATGAAAGTACACACACACACAACACAGTAAGCATRTCATCTTCTTGTGAGTGTTTAGATAACAGAAAAAAGAACAGGCTTTTTGTTGTGTCTCCATTCTACTCAAGCAT